ATTTGAGGCGGCCAGCTTCACTGTGAACTTGGCCCAACCCAAACTTTAAAGCGGTCTCCCACAAACCTAATAAAAGTAGATTCCGATCGCTCATCGTTAGTAGACGTAAGTAAACACAAAATAAACCACGTCATTACGTCGTTAAAATGATATAAAATCAAAATACAAAAACGTGGTGGCGGTCAGGTGACCATTTCTTACCAGGTGCATCAATTTTCACCAAAACAAAACTAAACTTACTCAAGAGCGTTAGTTAACGTTAAAAGCGTCAGAAGCCAAAAAAAATTTGAGCAGCAAAGCAACACCTTTTCATTGGATAAGGGGGGTAATACAGCAAAATTCTAGGTAGCGAGCTCTACTTATGGTGGTCTGTCATCCATAAGTGAAGGCTATGAGGGGAACATACATAAAATTATTTCTCAAGTCCGCGCCGCGATTTTAGATTATATCAATGCTGCTGAAGCTGTCATGGTAGATAGAGGGTTTGATATGGAAGTTGATTTCAATAAACTTGTCATTGATCTAATCATACCGTCATTCTTTGGTGATCGACAAGCATTCATTGAGAGAGAAATGTTTATCGGTAAAGCAGTGGCAACATCACGAATTCATATTGGAACACTGATAGGACGTTTGAAACATTTTAGACTTGTGAGATATGTTTATTCAAATTCAATACTTGATTTGCTCTCTGATGTAATGCATGTCTGCTCAGTCCTGTGTAATTTTAATGACCCATTTGTAAGGTGGGAAGCAGAAGTTGCTGAGATTGATATTTGAGAGCATTTATTGTCTTGGAGTGAACCCTCACGTTTGGTAAAAAATAAACAAAGTATTTCTAAATATATATTGACTTCTCATTGACATACCTTCATATCCTTTTATGAACACATGTTCCCAGAGGCGTAAGAGCACAGCAGCTATGTGTCCGCACCTCTTCAGAGTTTAATTGAGCTTTACACGAACAATCAGCTGTGCATAGAGCCATCACTCACATTAAGAGTAATAACTAGTCACCCTCAAGAGGGGTCGCAGTGCGAAAGACAATCTTAACCCCTTTTACGACGAAATTTCTGCGCAATCTTTCGGACTTTTCATTTGTCTTATTTGCGTCGCTCGCGAACTCGCTTAAATTTAGGTCGCCCTAGTGAATCTCAATATTAAACGCAATCGGACTTTAAACTGCGTGTCATTGTCTCGTTTGCATAGTAACCAATTTCACAATAGTCAAACTCGTTGCTACCATTTCCAAATTATTGTAAATTCATTCACGTGCCCTGATGGAACTGCGGGATAGGATCCGGACACGACATTCATCCTGGATGCATCCTGGCGCGTCCTCGCT